CCAATCGAATCATATGCCAGTACAAGCTCTATCCAATCAAACCGCTGCTTGTGTGTCAGGGGCGGGAGATTCATGTGATTGGTTGTTGGTCGAGTGTCAGACACGCCCGCCGGCAAGCGTCAACGCATGCCGCTGTGTGGACGGGCCGTTACGGTGCTTATTAAGCATTTTAAAACGTATGTGGTAAGTTGCCAAAGTGCTTTGTTCTGAACGTTCGTCAGTATTATAATCAAAAAGAGAAATATGAACGTTAGTTTTTACTGAAATGATCAAATAAAGTCAACATTTCACAGTCTTTACTGAGCTGTGTGGGGTTTGTTCAACTTTTAAAAGATGTTTGAATGGTGATATACACAGTGATAGATGTTAAGGACTAACGTTTATAATAAATACATTTGTATTGATTCTAAGATATTTTCATAGTTCATACAATCATACGTATTGGGATCATCTGTATTAATGTGGACCGGAGGGAGAGGGTGACGAGCATAAGTTTCACTTTCCTTTTTTATTTCAATTCCAACTTTGGTCATGAAGAATATGTTTCTCTGTTGTCCACGTTCATAAAGCATAAAGCAACAGCATCAGAGCACGGTGCAGAGTCTCTAAATGAGTCCCTCCTTCTTATTAAACATCCATGTTGTAGTCCGCTATAGGAAACTGTAGTTTCCATAGTTTCCCCACAGCAGCAGACGCACATTCGTGACGTCCGCTGGCGCATCATAAACACGTCGGATAGTGAAAGTGCATTCGGATTCTCTAAAGTACCGCGGTCTCTTCTCCTAAGTCCTTTTGAATTCTCCTATCCACTATCCCTTAACCCCGTGACGTTTCACTCAGAGGTCAAGGAATAGGAGATAGGGTTAGAATTTAGGAGCTGATTTTTGGATTATCGGAACGCAACCCTGGACTTGTCACTGCATGACGTCATACAAATAAAAGTCAACCTTTTTTTCAGTGCCCCAAGGATGCAGGGATCGTCCAACCATACACATGTTTTTGGTTCACCTTGTTCTATTCAATCCAAAAAAAATCCGTTAGCTACTTCTCAGTGCTATTTACCAACATAACTGGGTCAGATAGAGCTTGAATAATCTTATTGAACAACTTTTCTTTGATCGTTTCATCCTCAACCTGCGTTTTCTGGAGGAGCCTGCTTTTAACTCTTCTGTATAAGTGACCGTTCAGAATATTTATCTGGGCAGGCTACACAACAGTTAAATCGCCCACATGAGCACAGAGCAGCATTTATTCCGAACTTGACCTTTAGGTGGTTTCCTAGATTACAACACTGAGCCGTTCATATTACAGCCTTTAATATTTAACACCCTGAACATATCCGTACCGGCTGTAACTGAACACTAAAAATGACTGTATTTGTGTGTGTGTTTGTGCGGAAGCTGCTGCATGTGCCACATCAGATACCCTTACTGACAGAATAAGAGTGTGTGTGTCACATGACACTGCCTCTCACACTCTATCTGTATGTAGCATCAGTTACCGTACAATTAGTTGAGGATGTTGGCCAAGCAATTAGACTGGCACAAAGTAGAATCACATCACCCTGCAGCTTGTTTCATCATTCATTTAATCAATTATTCCCCGAAATGGGCAAAGGGAAATTAATACCTTGGCGTACGACGTATATCAGAGATATAGAAATATAGAAAAAACTTCTGGGGAGAAGTACAGAACTACAGCTCCCAGGGTGCATTTTGGCAACAGACTATCCTATCACTGAGCCGAGATAATGCTTCTAAGAAAACAGATTTTGTAATCTGCAGATTAAATCAATCCGCTTTTAATTTATCCGATTTTCTTTCTTCTAACTAATTTTTAAAATTACGAGACACCTTAACCCTTTCTAATATTCCTTGATATTTTTTCGTTTATGAATGATCAGATTTTCTGTCATTGTTCAGCTGGTATCAGCCTGACTATGTGAGGCTGCACTTGAATTTAAGGACCTAGTAAGTAGCGACTGTTAATGAAGGTGAATCCATTATGTCACACGTGCCTGATGTGATTTTCCATTATCCCCTCATTTTAGACATTTCATTTGCATTCGGATGCCTCTTCATGGTCTTAATCTCAATGTATGGGACCTTAAAGAGCCCTCAGGTTTGCAGCTAAACCTGAACAGAAGGCGCAGTGATTAATGCACATTAGAGGCCCAATAATCTCTGCTTGTCTCTGTGTGCCGTAATTCCCCAGCAGAACACCCAATCAGCCAACTGCTCTGTTACCCATGAGCAGTGCAGCGTTCACAACAAGTTGCAGTTTATGTTGACCAGACAGCCATTTGAAGGAGCGTGTAGACCGGGCAGCGCTAAGCTAATAGGGAGCCAAGTCCTTTCCCCACCAGCAGTATGGCTGACTGACGGACTCAAAGGAAACCAGGCCTGCCTGCCTGCTGGAATCACTCAGAGTTGAGGCGAAATGGCTCTCCGTAAAACCCCCTCCTCTACCTTTGCAGGTGAGTGCCACAGTAACTATAGGAAACCCACCAGGACTTTCCTTTGTGCTTCCTGTCCCTGCTGGATCCTCAGCCAACAAAAAGGACACATTAGACAGGACCACCGTAGAGTAACCCGCCCATTGTCCCTTCCCATATCCCCCCAGTGTGTGTGTGTGTGTGTGTGTGTGTCAGCAGGCCGTGTGGGCAGCCGTCAACAGGCAGCGGTGTACAGTTGCATGTGAGGCTGCTGTAGTTTAATCTGATTATTCATTCAGGGCCCTCTGCGGTACAAAAAGTGATCCCCATGTTCTCAGCTTGTCTCCTGGAGAAACTATTCAATACTGTTTATATATAAATGGATCCAATCACTTTTTAAGCATTATTTTATCTGAGACATGTGCTCAGGCAGAGTAGTTAACTGGGTTAGTTTGCATAGATGCTGTGCTTTACTGTAAGTGAGCAGAGGAAGCTGTTAGGTTAGCAGCAGGTACGTGCTAAGCTAAGCCTTGTAAGGCAAAGGCGAAACGAAGCTGTTATTGACTGATGATTTGGCAGCTCTTGGACGTCAGGAATACTATTGAGCCTTCCTGTAAGTTTAATTTTCCAAAGCCATTATAATACCGGTGACTGTGCAGTCAACACGTCGATGTATCCTTGGGCAAGATTCTTGACCCTGAGTTGCTCCCAATGGCATGTGTGAATGTTAGTTTCCAAGAGTTCCACTGCTCTGTATGAATGAGGTGTGAAAGGGTGAATGACTTGTAGGATGTAATTCGCTTTGAGGGGTCTTAAAAACCTGATAAAGCGCTATAAGTAAGTCCATTTACCATATCCTTGATGGGAGATGGCCGATAGTCAATAATGACATCCCAGCTGTTGCACACACTGCTTTGCTTTGGCATTCTCTATTGTTCACCTGGAAGAGCACATGTGGCACGTTCCATCAGGGCTGTTGTATGGACAGTTATGTTTGAAGACAATACTCTTCTCCATCTCGTCAGAAATGTTGAACTCCAAAAATGTATCTTCTAGACACAAAGTGTTTTGTTTTAGCACACTTTGAAACTTCATGTTTCCACATCACACTTGTATGAGTTGCATACTGGACCAATCCCAATTATCTGTGCACATTCAAAATAAAATTCTTCATTTGGTTTGACTCACCAAAATGCATTGTGTGTGTCACCTACGTATTGAATGCATTTCCCTGGTTATAAAACATTTGCGTAGCAGTCTTTTTCTTTTTACTTGTCTTTTGTTGGCACATTATCACCACCTGTACATCAGTGGAAGAGTGTGAAACAGGATTGTGTGTCACCCACATGAGCGAATGTGCATGACATAAACACAATGGGGACCCATTATAGAAAGAAATAGCTCCATAGTCATAACAGAGGGGAAAAACCTTGAGAAACATCCGTACATGAATGTAAAAACTGCATAGAATAAATATATAATATAAGTAACAACAACCATAACATATTGTGGATTTCACAATGCTTTGTTAATGCTCCAGGTTTGCAGATGTTGTCTTGTGAAAATATTTGCATAATGCACAAAGAGTGTAGTTTAATGTATATGGCAATAACATCAAACCAATTTAGTGACAAAATGCAACATAGCACACCATGTACTAAATGCAATGTAATGTAATGTATATGTGACATACATATTCATCTTCACAGATTCCCCACACGTTATGCTAAATAAAGCATTGTGACAGTTCTACAAGATGGATCGTCCACAAATGCATTAGAATAATATTTTCAAAACCTTCTCTCACATCTTTAAATTAAAGAACTATGAACGGCTATATATAAGAAAACCAAATACTTTTCTTTAATTGATTTTATACTCAATCCAGAAACATTCAACAGAGCCTCATTTTTGATGCCCTGATCTATATTTATGCATAAGGGATTTTCTCATCAAATCCCCTCCCACCAGATTGAAACTGGCGACCTTCCAGTTGCTGGCCCGCTCTCTAACCTCCAGGCTACTGCGCTGCTGTGAGGAGGAGAAACACAACTGTTGCCATCTACACATAGATATCTTATCTTTAAGGTGTTTCAATGCTTCAATACCAAGACGTTTGACCTTGTTAATACAGTAGTATGTTTAATTGTTGTAAAGTACAACCTAGGTGGATGAGAGAGATGAAACAGAGAGAGCTGTCCGTGGTGCTGGAATCAGAGCACAGCACGTGGCCTGGTGCGTTACTATGGCTACAGCTGTCTGTATCCCTAAAATAACCATACACACACATAGTACACACACATAGTAACCTTATTATAAAAACGTCAATCTGTTGCGGTTCCTAAATCCAGCAGATTTATATAGATTGATAAAGATGAAAAAACGTTGAGAGCAACAGTGTTTCTTCTTCTTCTTCTTCTTCTTCTTCTTCTTCTTCTTCTTCTTCTTCTTCTTCTCTTCTTCTTCTTCTTCTTCTTCTTCTTCTTCTTCTTCTTCTTCTTCTTCTTCTTCTTCTTCCATGCACATAATAAAACGACCATTTCCTTTTTCCTGTATTATACTGAGTCCTTTGTGTTTCGAGACGTGCTTTCGAGAGGTTGGCTTTCTGTCCTTTGTGAAGTGCTTTGATGCAGATTGACTGACACACAATTCAATTTGCACAGTGTGAAACAAAGCTACACTTGGCCACTTTGCATATTTGTGGCTACAGAGCCGCAACATGTCTGAGGGTTGATGAGGGAACTGCCATCGTATCCCTGCACGCCTTACTTTGAAAATACATGTGAGAAAAGTGGACGATGCTCTCCACAAGTTGCCTCTGAGCAAGGCAACCCTGAATGTTGCACTGGAGCTGTTTCGTGCTTTAAATTCAGAACTGTGTTTGTTCCGTGCAGTCTTTACATTAATATATTTTTTGATACAGAAAATGTGTTGTGTAAAGAAGCATTTTTAAAACAAAGGTTTTACATTTTGGATGAGAGGATGATTACTGCGATCATTTCCGTATGGTATATAGCAGGCTACAGTCAGTGGCTAGTTAGCTTAGCTTAGCATAATGACTGAAATTGAGAGGAAACAGCTAGCCTGGCTCTGTCTAAAGCCGAGAAAATATACTAATTGCATCTTCAAAGCTTACTGATTTAGACTGCAGCTGTTTGAGGTGTTGTCAACAAAATGATCTCAACATTTAAGAATTAGTATGTTTTTAGGCATTATCGTTAATTTAAAACATTTTACCTTCAGGTAAGGAAACATTTCGGCAACTTCTGATTGGTTTACAGCAATCTGCTCTACATGAATGGACACCTTTGTGCCTTAAGTTTGAATGCAGCTTCTGTGGAAATCTTATACTCCACTGTCATCTGCATGCTGCTGTGAAATGTTCTGACTTTTTTTTAATTTGAATGCCTTTTCTGTATACATACTGTACATGCAAGAGTAATATCGATAATATTCTACAGATTTTGGTTCCCAGGGTGAAAACTCTTACATCTGCTGGAGAAGGAGCTGGAACTTTAATGTAAAACCACTTCCTTATATATTTTTAAAAGCTTACATCAATGTGATTAAAGGTGTCACTCAGTGAGCTAGAGATGCTGCTATATGCAGATTTGATTAACTGTCTGTTGGATTTTAAAAGTTGTTGAAAAAGCGTATTCCCCCACATATAAAAGTATTGATGGTCGATGTTTTGGCAGGAACACAGAGACACTCTGCTGGCAAGGGCTCCCTGCAAAACTCAAGATACAGCAACAACTTAAAGTGGACCTATCATGCAAAATGCACTTTTGTAAGTCTTTTATACATGACTATGTGTCCCCGGTGTGTCAGGGAACTCACCAAGTGTCAGAAAATACAACCCTCTCTCTTTTCCTCCGTACCCAAATCTTTTAAAAAATGGGCTACAACGAGCGGATACAGATTCCATCCGAGCTGACGTCAGCCCGGAATAGTGTTGTTCACACGAGACGTGTCCGTTCACACGAGACCGCTCGAAAGCGCTGGAGATGCTGTAGTACATATGCCAGGCCTGTAATACCTCATTCACACCAACGGTGTTTCAGGGCCGGTTTGGAGCTGGAGCTTGAAAAGCACCGGGTTTTCCTGTTCACACCGCAGCGGAGCAGCCTCTTAGCTCCGGAATCCGGTTTAATTTCAAGCACCAAAAAATTGTCCGGCCGGGGCAGGGGCGGGATCAACTCCTGAACAACAACAAGAAGCCGGCGTTTTATCCAGTTTGTACACAACGATGGAGAAACTCAACAAGCAGCAGTGGTCCACTGAAGAGACCAGCTACCTACTGGGAATCTGGTCTTCCGAAGAGGTACAGAGGAAGCTGGAGCACAATCGGCCATTGTTGTTGTCGGTGTCAGCTGTGAGGGGTTTCCGGCGGTTTGGCTTTATGGAGCAGGCACGCAAACGGTTACGTCATGACGCAAACGATGACGCAGCACCAGTCGGACTCTGGGCGGTGTGAAAAGAGCTGGAGCTAAACCGAAGAACCGGTTCTGAACCTGAAAAGCTCTAGCACGGAGCTTGAACCGGAGTTGCGTTGGTGTGAATGAGGTAAAAGTGGCACTGTAGTCCTGCCACAAAAGCAGCGAAGAAGACTTCTCAGAATCAGCCCTTGCAAAGACAGGGCTGGAAAAGGGCAAATAGAGCGAAATGAGGCATGGCTAAAATGCATGATCTGTTTGGTATTTTGAAAAAAAAATTCACAGACATGTTTTATATAGGTATGGCCCTACAATATATGTTTCAAATATAGCATGATAGGTTCACTTTAACTTTAAGTGACGTCAGCCTTAGATTCAGTATGCTTTAATGACCTAACCGCTTGCAAATATTTTCCTGAAAATGTGTGAAAATTACAGTCATGTTTTTGGAGGAACCATCTCTTTTATTCTTCAGTTAACAACATTTCTGAGGAGCATACATGTGAAGTAAGCTTTGCAAGTGTTAGTTCGGCTGGTTGACTTTCCCTGGCTAGACAAAGAAAAGAGGACAAGATGTCAAAAGGAATCTGGATCAACCAAAAGGCGCCATGTTAACTTCAGTGTTTGGTCCCTGGTGGGACATATTTACCCAGAGTAACCTGGACCCTACAGTAGATGGACCTTTGATGTTGTACACTCAGTATGAGTTTTCAGGATGCTATACCCTGAGTGATAATCGTTTCATTTCCACAATGATTATCTTTCAGAGTCATGGATCAATGGTGCGAGCTGTATACCAGGGTCCACAGCCCTCAGTGAGTCCTCCTCCATCCACAGCGACGCCCTGTTTCAACTGACCAAGGACGTGTCCTCAGTAGGACTGGAGCCCATGTCCTCTTGTAAAGAGGAAGTTTGCGCTGAGGAATCAGAGACTCTGCTGAAGGTAATTCAAGGACAACAGAAAGTGTGAGTGTACAGAAAAACCACAAACAACAACATAATGAAGTACTTTTCCCCTAATTTGGGAACTAGTTTGGCATTAAAGCCTGCTCATACTCACTAGTCAAAAGTTAATCATGTAATATTTCCTGCATGGGTAATGGATTGCATAGCATTTCATCATTTCATGACTAAGCATAAAATAGAAAGGATCTCATTAAAATCTGTTATAATGATGGAGGACTCTCTGTTCTGCAAGGTTTCTTTTTTTCAAGATGTTTATTGTTGGTCTCTTTCAAAAGATAAATGTTAACTCAATGTTTGGGAGCGTTGACACCAAAAAGTGAAAACATGAGCTCAAGGTTAATGTTATTGCAGGGGAAATACTATTCTAAGTCTGATATTAGTGTAGGTTTGATATGGTTTATATCTCTGTTGAGTAAATAGAGGAAGACAGAAATATAACTGGGACACATTTATGTAGCAATGCTTCAGATATATTTTCACTAGTTGCTTCTGTGATTGTGGCGTAGCAGAAAACTCAGGTCTCTCTCCAAGTAATATCAGTGGGCTGCTACCTCTCTCTACACTGCAAAAAAATACCAGTCTTCACCTGTCACTCTTTCAAATAGAGTAATATTTTTTTTTAAATAGTAAAAAATCTCCTTGAAAGGGCAAGTTGTTGGACCTATTTTTTCCATTCTACTTCTGAAGTATGATGTATGTTTCATAAACAGAAACACATCTATGAACAGGCGAAAGCCCTCATAACATAATATAGATTTTTACAACCGTGACAGAGATGTGCGTATGGAAAAAAAAGCCAACAAGAAATCAGAACGACATTTTTTAGCATCAAGACCACCTCACCACCCCACCACCACACTGAAGACACTTTTTACAGTGTGGTATGCTCCGTGCCAAAGCGCGCGGCAGCTCCGGATCCCACAGTGTGAGAGATGGAGAGATGGTATCAGCAGCACGCGCTCAGCCTGCTCACATTATGCGCTGCCTCTGAAATCGGACACATCTTCTCCAACGGAACAATGCGCCGCGCTGCGCAGAGCCGCGGCTGCAGCAGACCTGTGGACTAACAGCGGGGAGCTCAGCTGGAGTTTAGGCATTATGGGGACGAAGGTGGTGATGGTGCATCTAGCTGCTTTTTACTGCGGAAACCACCAACTTTCACTCCCTCTCCACTCCTTCTTCTTTCTCTGAATCTGTGTGTGTTTAAAGCGCACCAGCATGCCGAACTCCCCAGCAGAAGACAAGATCCCAGTGAGTACACCAGCATCCATCCTTTCCTGCACTGAGGATCGGTCATCCTCCTACTCTCACACTTTACATTTGGCCATGCGGTTAACAGTAAAGTGTTCGGAGAGAGTTGGTGTAACTTACTACCGTTGTTTGACCCAACGACACGTTAAATTACTGTAAGGGAATCAGAAAACAGGAGAGGTTGAAAAAGATTTACAACCAAGTTGAATGAGTTACCAAATCAAATTCCAATACAAGTGGGACCAAACAACTTTATTTTGACTAATGGGAACTATAAAGATGCAGACAGAATTGGATACAGAGAAATGCACATCTTTTATTTTCTTTGAGTTATGTTGTGGTTGATTAAATGGGTACATTATGGCTGTCATTATCAATGATGAAGGAAGGTGTTGAGAACCTTTTACCAAAACAAGCATCTTAGAACTAACATTAGGCTAATCAGGCAGGTTGTCCAAGTCAGCAAACAGAAGGTAATGAGAAGCACTTCCACAACGTTTAATGGATATTAATATTGAATTGATGACAGGTGCTAAGATGCAAAAAAAATCATGTTTAGACAAGAGAACAATCTAACAATTAATCTGGATGCACAGTCTGTTGTAGAACAGTTTTTAAGGCCTCATTTTGGTTGATGTTGCTGGAATTGTGTTTGAAATCACTGCAATCCCATCATAACAAACACCAAACTTCTATAGTCAGTGGTATTTACATGTGGGATTTTTGGTGGATATTTTTGAGGGCACTATTCCAAACTGATAATTTTCAAAACAGATCAAATGGTGCGAAGTTAACATGGTTCATTATAAGGTAAATATTGTGGAATTTTGGACCTGGCCCATGTAAAAAATTATAAAAGGTGTAACTACTTCCATCAAACAAGTGCAAGGAAGATATCAAAATGTGGATGCCTAAGAGTTCCAATCAGTCTAATTAAATAAAACCACCTTTGTGAATGGACCATGGTGGGGCCTTTAAATATTTTAGCTAATCTGCCTATAGAACTAACAGAGCATGTGGCTATATTAAATGACATCCAGATCTAAGATACATTTCACAGAGAGCAATGCTAAGTATGTGAGGGAAATCAGAGTTAGAATCCCAAGTTTACCAACTCAGGGCCAAATTCACTAAACCTGGAACACAAAAAGTAACCATGAAATGCACCTTTAACTGCACTGGCAAGCAAAAATAGTGTTTCGCTGCTCCTCTGCACTTATTTAAATTAGGTCATAGGCAGACATTTGGAGTATATTTGGCTCTTTTCCATGTAATTGAGCCTCGTTACAAAAACAATCCAATTAAAAGTTACAGTGGCATTATGAGCGTCTTCAAAGGGAACTGAAGTAATTTATAGACTGGACTAATGGACTCTGAAGTGCATTCATAATGTCTGCTCAAACTCATTTGTTTTTGGGGTGTCTGGTAGGGTAAGATAGCTGTGTCATGAAAAATGAAGCCTCTTCAACAGACACTAGCTAGCATGCCATAGTGTAAACTGCAACTTGTTTGCTAGCTAGCTTATCGAACTTCATTGACGTTTCTATAAACTGTATTTTACACAAACATTAAATCAAATTACAATATGATAACAATCTTACAACAACTTACTGTGATAACTGATTATATTTTGAATAGAATATACGTATCGGCTTTACAGTGCTTTATAGTGTTTTAGCTCACTGTAGCTAGCCGCTACACAACTTTAGTAGTTATTTTTGCAGCAGGCATCTGCTTTAACAAAAAAGCCACTGTCCACTACCTTACAAACACAGTGAGAGAAGAGCTGGGCAACACAGCAGAGCACTAAGCTGCTAAAGACACAGATATTTGTACAGATTTTTCCTGGAGGTTGGTTGAGACCAAAGACTGAGCAAAAAGAGAGCACAAGACAAAACTTTGCCAGGTAGCAAGAAAAACAACTATGCTAACTGTATGTAACTTCTGGTTTGTTGACGAGCACAACTGTGCTAACAAGTTCCCTGTATCAACCTAATGGTGGACGGTATGTCAATGTTCACGACTTGTTTATGCAGCTTATACATCCGGGAGGGTCACAGTTTGTGAATGGAGCAGCATTAACTTAGCACAGATGCACAACATCATATTGAAATGCTGTCCTTCTGATAAGTAAAAGCTGCTCTCTCCTCATGCCCAGAGCCTATAGAGTGTTCCCTCTTGTGTCCTCCATGTTTAGTCTCCCTCTGTCTAAATAAAGAATAAAACTGGCAAAGGTGAGCTGACTGCCCACTCTGCTGCTGGAGGTTCTCACTTCAGTGTTTTTGAGAACCTGCCAAAAGCCACTAGATGTTTAAGTTCATTCAAACAGTTATTACATAACTCCTGTGCTGCTTAAAGCTTCTGTGTATTTGGTCTTCAAACCATGTGTATGTGTGTAATTGATTATGAGGACGTGCAGAATGATTGGATATGATGGAGACGGTGGTTTGTTTACTCTAATAGTGAATTAGTGTTTTTTTTTAAAATACGTACAGCTGCATACTGTGTTTTTCATGACGCAATGAATAATGTGTGTCTTTATTATACAGATGGCTTCATGTGTACTTTTATTGTACGGTTGCATACTTAGGCTACTGTGTGTTTTTACAGCACCGCTGAATTCTGTGTTTTTAACTTTTACATCTCTCTCCCTGCAGGTGGTGGGTTCTGCTTCCAGTCCTCAGTGCAGCGAGGAAGGCCTTTGCTTCTCTGATGGCAGACGGAAAGTTGACTACGTTCTGGTCTTCCATCATCGACGGCACGGCTCTGTGCGATCTTTTGCCAGCAACTCAGTTTCACACGACAGGATATCCATTGTTTCCAATGGCAACTTTCCCTCTGCGGCGGGCTCCGATGCAGCAGCAGGAAGAGGAGGCAGCAGCCCGGGGAGGGAGGCGGCGAGTGTCGGCGAGGTGTTCGTGGAGCTCGGGGGGGCAGGAGGAAACGATCTGACGGAGCCTGCTGACCATGAGATGGATCTGATCAGACAGGAGTTCGAGGCCAGCCTGCAGGAGGCCGGCCTGGAGATAGAGAGAGACAAAGAGGTGAGCCTGCATGTGTGTCCTCCCCTACTATCTTACAATTATGATTTAAAAAGCATTTTGTTTTAAAGGTCCCCTATCATGCAAAATGCACTTTTTTTAACGTCTTTTATACATACATATGTGTCCCCGGTATATAAGGGAACTCACAAAGTGTCAGAAAACCAAACCCTCTCTCTTTTCCTCCATACCCACATCTCTAAAAACGGGGGTACAACGGAGCTGATCCAGATTTGCTTCCAATATGACGTAATATCGGAAATGTGGGCTGTGTTTTGGACGTAATATGGTCTTTGTTTACATTAGCAAGCATCGCTAACACTCAGAGCTAACCTGTACTGGAGAGAGTAAGTGTAAAAAAGCAGGAAATAAAAAAAGGAACTCACCTTGTGGTTTTGAACATGATATGGCGTTTCATCATGGCAGCATTTGGCTAGGTATATGCCATGTCTTTTATATATTTTGATATATCTGAGACCCATAATATATGCCTAAAAATAGCATGATAGGAGATCTTTAATGAAGATGACAATTAGTGTCTGTTTGGTCACAAAACTTGTAATATAACTTCAGACATTAACGAGCAGCCTTTGATTTGATGCACAGACTTGATGCTACAGTTTTTACTGACTCTACTGGATTTCTAAACCCTGACACAGGATCTGATGTAACTCAGTCTTGAGCTATTTGAGGTGAGCGCCTACATGGGAACTTGGCTCTGATAGTAGAGAGAAGATGTGGGTGAGACTCGATGTGTTGTGGAGGATCTAAGGTGGCTTTTAGAGTCACGATGAGGTTTCTATTAAACTTGCAATTCCCTTTTACGCTTAATGTAACATGCTGCTCTGCCTGCCTTAATCACCTCGACAAAATAACAGTCAACACCACATAAACATGTGAGTGAGCTTTCGAGAGCACACAGTGCAGGCAGAATCTTGGCAAAAAGCACAATAAGATATTCCCCTGTATCTTCAGCTATTACGGGGCAGAAGTGAACAAAACAAATACAACTCAATAGAAACTGAGTCGGCAAACTAAAGCACAAAAACAAAACAATTCTTCTCATCCACAACTATGAAACAGCTTCACTTAAATATGTTTTTTTATTCATTCGGCCATCCACAATATCATCTCTTTTTTTACCCTTATTTCTGCGTCAATTTGTCTAAAGAGCAATTCTCCATTTCATTCCTTAAAGGTGGGGTAGGTAAGTTTGAGAAACCGGCTCGAGATACACTTTTTGTTATATTCCATGGGATGCTCTTAACATCCCGATAGCAATGAATATCTTAAGTGCTTTGACAATAAATCCATAAAAAAATGTCATCTGTGGAAGCCGTGGCGCTGTAAAAAGCACGACCAATCATCTGAGCCGGCCCGGCCCGACTAAAACAACTGGATGGCCTACCTGCCTGTCAGCCTTCCATCAGTGCACAAACGTATCTCGTGCTCTCATTGGTCATGTGCGTGTTCGTGTGTGTTGGAGGAGGGGCTCTGTAAGGAAGTGGCAGATTTTTTACAGTTGTGTATTTTCAAATTCTAGCGCACTCGAGCTGGTTCCTCCAAATTTACCTACCCCACCTTTAAGCTTCAGTTGTCACACTCATAAAGGCAGCATTCTGCACCTTGTTGCACAACACTTATTAGAACGACATCAAAATAAACCAAAATAATGTAGCGTGAATCACACACACACATCACAGGCCGTTTTTGTGTTGTTATCAGCTTTTCTTTTTATGAAAGCTCGCTTTTTTCACTTGATTCCTTATTTTTGTACTGCTTTTGGGTCCTGACCTACTACCAAACCATGACAAATAACACGTTTAAAATCAACAAAACAGACAGAAACAGTGTAAGATCTTTTGACAGGAATAACTACATTATTAAAAAAACGGACCATTGTATAATTCTATCAAACCCTCTGTAGCTGTGAAAGAGTTTTAGACAGTGAGAGTTTTTTCAGTCAGAAACAAGTATAATCCATGGCAGAAATGCACAAATCAGTGCGGGCTGCACTAAACCTGCAAACCTTAGCAATGTAGAACAAAATATGGTGAGTCATTCAACCTTGTTCCCTCATCCAGAAACACCTGCCGTAAAACATGAAACCTTCAACCAACAATGTGTACAGTGAACACAGGGAACAGTGATTGTTCTGTATGCACAAAAACTGAAATAAGCACTTTCTCTTAGCATTGGATCTGAACTCGGCAGCGTGTTTACTTTAACGACTTCCACTAATAAGTTGAAAAAAGTTTGGTCTTTTCAGAACTTTTATGTATGATTATATATTTCTATATTTAGTGAATATGACTCTGCTCGACTGCAGTTTGCTAATTGTCATTTAGATACTTCCAATCTTTTTTTCATGTCGTTTCTGTTTTAAATGTCTCATTCATATGACCGTGATTCTATTTCGATGCCAGAATCCACACAAAGCTCTGCCGCTCTCATGAGGGCTGACAGATTTATGGTCGCTGTAGCCAATACAGTCTGTGCGGCTGACCTCTTAGCATCAATTAAATAATTAAGCCTGATACGATTTACTTAGTTTTGACATGTACAAATCGCTTCGCTTCAATTGTGTGTTTGGGTGTGTGTTTACTCGTGCCTTGCAGAACACACAGTCTGTGTCCTTGTAGTGGGTCTCTGCCATACAGTTGTACAAATGAAGTTATTGTAAAGTTCAATTTTTCGTTAAATGAAGTACCGCTGCACTTTGGACACTAAAGGAATCATTTAGAAAATTGAGTTTTTGGCGTCAGCTGTGGGAAGCGGCATCAGATGCTCTTGCAGTTCTGTGAATCGATACATCCCTTATAAGAATTAGAAACAGGAGCAGCTGTGTGGTTACCAATAAACAACACTGTCTACGATCTTTTACAGTTTCATCCCAATGAATAGTATTGGGGTTCGCTGTGTGTGTGTGAAACCTATTTTAATAAATACATGTGACTGTGTGGACATGTGTGTGTGTGCTGGCTGGCAGCCAGTTGGCCAGTGTACGCGGTCGGCTAGTATTAATCAGATTGTTGACAGTGTGGCCACAGAGCCTAAACAGCACAAGATTAGTGACTGATAGCTCATTATATCATTTAGTGAATTGAGGAGTAGATCAACTGTTCAGTTCAGCCAATATCCTTATCTCAATTTCGAGAGGGTGGAATTAAATGTGCGACAAAAGATTATAATGAACATTGTGCTAATTGTTTTTAGGGATTATGGTCAGTCAAAGAGCTTGGTTAACACTGTCTGTGGGCCTGGTATTAGTCGAACGTGCTATTTAGCATTTTCAACTCCTGAGTTTCGTTTTCTATCTCGGAGCAGTTCATGAAATATATGAAAATACGAATGAGTGAATCAAGGAACCATTCAGCAAAGCAGCACAATGGTATGGCTGTTTTTCACAACAAAGATCATGACAACCGGCCACCGTGGCAGCAATACATAACCATGTGATTTTTTCCGACAGTTTGAGGGACTTGATGGCTCAGAAATAATCCAAATGATTCCTGTAAAAATCACATTTGCCACGCTTGGATTTTCCAGAGTCAGTATTTAAGCAGAGTTTAGCATAGCAGTGCCAATGCAGGATTATAAAGTGAGTAATTAATTATGTGCAACATTTACATAGAGATTAAGTTCAACATGTGTTCTCCTGCAGAATTACATTAATTTCGTACATAGTAAGCCGCATCATGTTAAACACACAATAAACATGTGTATAGGTTATTTATCAAGTGAGTTTGATAAGTCATATTTTCGAATTCAATTTAAACATACTGCTTGTGTCCAACCTGTTTGACTTCAGATTAATTGGATGCTGGAGGGAAAAAAGTGTGTTAATGTAAAACTTGTTGGTAGTGTCTGGGGATTAATGAGCTGACCTTCTATCTCTTAGTGACATCCCCTTACAGAACACTTAATTAAATCAGAGCAAGATGTTAATTCAAGGAGCTCAAGTCTGTTTGAGCCTGAGAGACGGAGTGAGCAGGATTAAGTGTTTTGGTAAGGTTCTCTCTCCCAACCCATCACATGTTGACGGTCGGTCAGGGCCCCTCCCCGTCACACTATTACGCACAGGGTACCCTTTGAGAGTCAGTTTTCAATGGGCAGGGCGTCCCATAGACCTTCATAGACCTCCCATAGCGTTGATAATAGATGCCATGAGAACACTCCCCAGAAAATGCTACCCCGAAGGTCGGTTGTTATTGTCAATATTAATATAATAATGATTTATTTTTTAATTAGTTACACTCGATTTTGCCGATTTTCTTGTTGCCCCAGCTGGTCGACACCTCTTTTAGCAGAAACAAAGGCTACATTAATGTATTAAATCGATGTTAATCCATGTGTGTGGTTGTGGAATTAATGGACGTGCCTTTGTGCGATTGCGTTGCCAGGCAAAACCCTAATTATATTTTAAAACATTTTAGAAGGCCTCACGAAATACTTTAATGTAAATGTAAATTTAAATGTGAAGGGATGTGTGTAATGTGGTGATTGACATTATTCACCCACGGATCTATGGGTGGGGGTATTGTTCCGCACGGACATTTTAGTTAACCGGACTTCCTGTTGATGTGAAATCCGAAAACATTTAAAAAAAAAAAAAACTTTATTCCGAGTGTGCTTGCTTTTCTCTTTGGAGGTCATCACATAACGGCATTGTAATACACGGTTCGGCTGCATTAAATATTACACATCTGCCGTAGTTCGCTATTTATAGAGCCCTGCTGAGAAGACTTCTAGACAAACTGCCCCCGAAACTGAATATGTGACGTGGATCATAAATATATCAATTAAACAAAATCTTCAATTTCTCTTCACAATATACGCCTCCTTGCAGTATCAATACTAATTCGGCTGACTTTTATATTTGATCCAATTGGTATATTGGTATATTTACACCATAACGGTGCACAGCTGATAGAAAGGGACACCTGGTGGTTAAAGCACGCTATTGAAATTCATTATTTTTATTATTAGATATTAATAGGAGA